ATTTTTCATAATCATCTTAAATCCTGAATGTGTCATCTTTATCACCATCATCAACGCTATTGAACTTGAAAGTTTTGCTTCAAGTATAACATATACTTCATCACTTATTTCACTAGATAGAGCAATGGAGGACGAGGACAACATTCTCGGTCATTTTCGGTCGTTCTTGTTTCGTTCGAGCTGTTCGGTACTGGTTTGCCGACTGTTAGAATTATGTTCGGTAATACAGTACTGAACATAATCCTTTCGTTCAATACATAGGTTCCGAACATTAATGTAGATAGTCAGTTATGTAATTTTCTTTGTTAAACTAACTTAGAATAGAAAAGAGTGAATTGGAATGGATTTAAATTATGTATTTTGAATGGATTTAATTCATATTATTTTAAGTTGTGAATTGGAATGGATTCAAGTTATGTATTTTGAATGGATTTAATTCATATTATTTTAAGTTGTGAATTGGAATGGATTCAAGTTACACAGTGATGGACAAATTTTGTTCAGACATACAGTGCTGACAGGATCATTATTGTTCAACAAAACAGTTCTGAACAAAATACATTTTTTCAGCTACACAGTGGTGAACAAATTGTTTTGGGCTACATTCAGAATTCTGATGGCAATTCAGACGATGATTTTGTTTTTTCTCATCTTGCAAACGGTTATGCAAATCCCGTAGAAATTAGAGTATCTTTGATCGATCTCAGCGATGATGAAGATACAAAAAGCAATGAAGAAGATGATGATGAGAGGATGAGAGAGGTTACTGATTCGGCGATACGGAGAGCGTTCAGAGAAGATGAGAGTTGTCGGAATGCTCCGTTGACGGCTGAGACGGCGATGAGAGTGATGGAGGGTTGGGGTCCAAGAATTCTATACTTGACCAAAGCTCCAAACTCTGAAGATTGAGTGAGTCGGGGAAGAAGATGGATGAAAAATTAGGTGGGTGTACATTTCATTGTAAAAATATTATGAATATGGGTAGATTTGGTAATAAGTGGGGTGTCCAAAAAAATATTATTAAAATTTAGAGTTTTGGTTTTGGGTCCAAAGAAATGGGGGGTCCAAAGAATTTTGGTAGGTGCTAATAGCAGCACTCTTAAAAAAAGCCAAAGAGTTCAACCCAAATGTGACTTTTTAGTCACAAACTTTAAGGGTTGTTCGGGATAAACTATATAAGTGCATTTTTTGACTTTTTGGCTAAAAAAGTAGAAGAAAAAAAGATAGAATAATGCTTGGGACCCCCTTTTGGGGGTCACCCCCTCACCCCCCCCTTTGCCACGTGGCGGGTAGTGATTGGAGGAGTAGGAAAAAAAAGAAAAAGAAAAAGAAAATGTAACCAATGAGAGAGAGAGGGGGTCAAAGAGGGTAGGAGGAAAAGGGGAGATGAATCATTGTTGAAAAAGATATATGTTTGGGATAATTTTTTGACTCTTTACAAAAAAATGTGTATTAAAATATTGTATCAACTAGCAAAATTACCTTTCTACCCTTCTAAGCACTGACATGCTTTTCGTGCATGTTAGTGAAGTCCTGCGTCAGTGTATTGTGTTGCATTGTTTTTTTTTGTCCACCAAAAAGTGCACTGTTAAAAGGGGACAAAACCAAGGGCATTTTTGTTTTTTTACCCTCTATCTATTCAGCCTTTTTTTCCTGTCCAAACATGTAAATAGTGTTAACTTTTTTACTTTTTCAGTAACTTTTTGACTTTTTATCATTTTTAGGGGATGCCAAACACCTACTAAAAAAGCTAAAAACTAAAAAATCAACTTACGTCTCAAATGAAGCCTATATTACAAATTGACACAAAATAAAATTTTATTGAAAATTAGATTTTTTTAACAGCTTAAAGAGGCTGTAAATACTCACTCTCTTGTTGGTTTTGTTGTGTTGTGTGGTTGTGCTTGTGGTTGCGTCTTCCAAGTTTCCAATACGACAAACTCCATTGTTTTTTTTTTCTTCGAAAATAAACGACAAATAAAAAAGGCTACACCCCCTTCCTAGATAAACTCAACATATCAGCCACAAGAGGCTGTGCACTTCTGCTGGGTGATCGTTCACAACCAGGAGCTCCATTGGTTGTTTTGCACCAAACTTCGCCATAACATCAACACAGGAATTCCCCTCGCGCAGGACATGTTGGATTGTGCATTCACATCCTCTCATGATGATCCTTGCGTCTTCTATCAAGCCTTGAAAGGGGCTGTCTCCACTCAATCCATCTTCCAACAGCTTTATGACTTGTGTAGCATCCGTCTTCACAATCACCTTAGTCATACCCCTTTGGAGAAGAATAATTAGTCCTTTTACACCGATCAAAACTTCGCTTCCAAACTTGAGCAATTTTCCAATCTACCATAATACTTGCTTATCCAACTTCCTGCTTCATCTCAGAACCGCCCACCAAACCCATCATATCCTGACCTTCCTCTTGTGCATCCATCTATATTCAACTTAATAGTATAAGGAGGATACCATCTAATTAGTTGGGGTGAGAGTTTGAGATAAATAATAGAAATAGTAAATGCCAAGTGAATATCTCTAGAAAAATCAACTAAAATTTCAAACTCTCATGTGTCTGGATCTCTGTTTTCAAACCATTTGGTGCTGCAGTTTTTCTAAATCTTCCATAGAGAAACAACAAACAAGGTACTCCAAGAGATATGTTCATAAGCAGTAGCCCTTTTTTTAAGTTAAATTTGATCCATTCCAACAGAGGATTATTCCATATATCTCTATACCACTCCCTTTCAAAAAGAGAGGACCAAATAACAACAGCTTTTGGACAAACCCTGAAAATATGATTCATATCTTCCATTTCCAAACAACTAAAACAAGAAGAAACATTAGTTAAAGCCCTTTTCAAACGTAAGCTAGCAGTGAGGAGTTTCCCATGGAGCACAATCCATAAGAAACTCTAAAGTTTTTGAGGGATTTTCAATTTCCACGTCCAATGCCAATCCACCTCATGACCAGGTTGATCATTGATAAGGTCATAAGCATCAGCTGAAGAGAACTCCCTATCCAAGCTTCCTTTCCGGATAGGGACATCAGGAACAGGGTTTGCTCTTGGAGGGGGAATGGACATAATACCCGAAACACTAGACGGAGGCAGATTATTCAACAAAGTCAAGTCCCAATCTCCTTCATTCGTGAAAAAGGAGTTCACCTTATCATTATTGGTACGCTAGTGGATGGGATTTTCTACTTGGAGCAATTTATTCCCACACCACCAATCTTTCCAAATTCTCACTTTAGCACCATCACCAATTTTCCACTTAGCCCATTTAGCCAATATCTTTTTTGTATTCATTACACTCCTCCAAAGATAAGAAGCTTTTTGCTTATTCTTCCAAGTATAGAACCCCTATTTCTTAAGATATTTGGCCCTCAAAACCTCAGTCTAGAGGCCATCATTCTCACACAGAATTTTCCAACCCAACTTGGTAAGGAGGGCTAGGTTTTGATCTTTTGCTTTTTTGATTCCCAACCCTCCAAACCTTTTCCTTCTACACATATCATCCCATTTAATAAGATGAAATTAACCATGTTTGAAACAAACACAACCTCGAAAGAGCCGTAATAACAAAACCACAATCACATCGATAATAGCTAGCGCAGTACTTATGTAGACAGATTTTTGTGTACATATAACAACTAATTGGCCCTTTGTCTGTTTTCATCTCATTGTCTAAGGCAAGTAACAATACAATAAGAAACAACGATGCTGATGATAATGATGCATTTTGATGGGGTGAATTGGAATTTTGAAGTCAAAAAGAAGATGAAGAAAAATAATTAAAACTTAGGAACGAAGATGAAGAAAGTTCAATATGAAGAATTTGTATGTACCATGAGAAAAAAATAACATTTTATTTTAGAGTTTAATGTGTATTATCTTATTAGTAAATTTATATAGAATATAATAAGAACTAAAATTGTAATATTTTAATTAGGCATATTAAGTTATTATTTGGATTCCAATGTAGTCACCCTATTTTATATGATTTTTTTTGGTACAGATGAGAGACTATTTTCGTATAGGAGGGGCCATTTCATACAAACCAAGTATAATCCAACCTCAAAAATATAATTCCATGCATAACACAGGATTAAACAAAATTAATATCCAAAAGTTAAAATGTATCACCAAAAACTAATATGTACCATGCCAAAAGATAATTTGTGCCATGTTAAAAAAGTAATCTATATCATGCCAAAAAGTTAATCTGTACCACACCGAAAAACTGATTCGTATCACGTCAAAAGGTAATACGTACCATGTCAAAAAAGTAATCTATACGAGCAATACTAATCTGTAGACTAAAAACATATATTTCGTACTTGTCAAAAAAAGTCGTATCCACAATTCCACACCAAAAAACATAGTGATATTTTAATTTTATTTTAAGAATAAAAAGTTGAATGTAATAATTTAAAATGAAACGACTAAAGAGATATTACAATGAAAGTGTAATGAAACATATTTTATAGGACAAAATTATATTAGTGGTCTCTACATTTTGCTCATTATATCATTTCGGTTCCTATATTTTTAATTCACTCAAATTTGATCCTTGTTAATTTTAAATCTTGTACCAATTTAGTCCAATTAATAATGCCGGTAATGCTTTTGATGAAAAATTATCACTGAATCTGTTGAGATTTACTCACTGAATTCAGTACGTTTATAATTTTATTTTTAAAAATATAATATATGTGAAACTATGTGAAATATAGACATAATTTATTCACATTTCACTTACCTTTTCCATTTCCGTTTTCAAATCTCTTCTCAAATCCCCCAACCAAACATAGCATAAAGGATAGATTAGTTGTCTTTTTTTTTCTTTTTTCTTTTTTAAATTTTAAAATATGTGATAGATTTGACAAAAAATCCATATTGGATATTCCATCGTTAAAAGAGATATCTATTTATTGCAAATGATACATATAAACTAAGAAATTAGAAAATGAGAGAATTGAGAAGAGAAACTTACTGCTTTAAGATCAGTTGTTGCATAGACCGACCTCACCCCACTTTGGCATCCCTTTGAACAATCAAAACAAAAAACAAAAACAGTAAAATCAGAAACAATAATTCACCAATTATTTAATTCTTTGCGGGTGATTTATGAAGTATTTTACTAGAAAGATAAAATTAAAACCAACAATAATATTATATTTTATATTTACCACGACAAGGTGATCATCTGGTTTGCAAACTGATAAAACCTGCTCCATAAATTCAGGATTCTTCACCCTTCCTGAAATTCAACAATATATATATATTTACAACAGATTTTCATAAATTGGGATTACTCCAAAAATCCCAAAGTAAGAAATTAAAAAAAAAAAAAAAAATTTGGATGGAGTTAAAAATTAACCTTCAGGGTTGTTAAACATGTAAGGAATGTTCAAAGCATTCTCAACATCTACATGCCCCTTCTTGAACTCCTCCTCCGTCCTAGTTATTATTCATTTCAATAATCCCAAAATTATAAAACAATAAAATTTAATTTTAGGATAAATTTCAAACACACATCTTGAGATTTACTTAAACTATAAATTATTCTTTGTAATTCTAAAAATTACATTATGCCTCATAAGATTTTTAATTTCATAACAAATAGGTCCTTTTATTAATAAATCATCAAATTAATTAACAATTTTTAATAATATTAAAATTTTATTTCAATTAATAATTCAGATAGTTTTATTATTATATAGATGAACAGTTAGAAATTTTACTTTTTTAATTAATTCTGTTAAATAAAAATTCTGATAGAAAGATATTTGTAATTTTTCAAATCACAGAAGACATTTTGTATTTTAAACAAATATCAAAAGTGTATTTGTAATTTACCCATAATTTTAAAATATAACCAAACACACATGTTTAATGTAAACTGGGGTAGTAGTCCCTCTTGTTTACTTATTGTGTTAATGTAATTCATATATAATTCTAATAGCAACAATTTTACCGTTTAATTTTACATTTTGTGTTTAATTGATAATGATCATCAGTATTTTAATGAAAAATAGAACAAAATTGACACGACTATAAACGTAATAATGCCCTTTGGCAACATTACATGGTATGAGAGCTATGTTAGAAATGGTTTGAAAAATAGATTGGAAAAAAATAGATTTTTTCTAAATTTTAGGTGAGACTCATGTGTCAAAGTTGGCGGGTCTAAGTGATAACGTGTTCTATGCCGCACTGTGATTCACGTAGTATATTTGATTACTCAAAACCATTATTGGGTGAATGAGAAATTAAAGCCAAAGTAAACTCCACATAAATGGTATTCTTGGTGAAATTTCCATAAAGGTCGAATTAACATTTGTCCCACATTGTTTTGAAAGACAAACTTTGTGTGGATTTATAAGGTTTGGATTTAGAACTTGGGGTAAGCCTTAAGGGGCACTTAAGTTTTGTAGAGTGAGAGGTTATGGACAAAGTGAGTTGGACCCATTGGATCCAAAACAAGCACGCTTGCTGTCGTTCGGGTGGGCTGGGCCTAGGTACATGGAGTGAGGTTGGGCTTGTCCGGCCCAATACATCTTTGTGGACCAAAAAGTTTTGAATTTTATTTTTTCTAAAATTAAAATTCTTATATTTTTTGGAATTTAAATTTCAAAATTAATTCCAAAATAATGTCCAGATTTTTTCTCCACCAAACAGGTTTATATTTGTTTGAATTTAAACTGAACAGATTCAGTATCTGTTCAAATTTAAACCGAAATAGTGCCTTACCTATTCAATTCAAACTAGACAGGTTCTTTATCTGTTCGAACAGGTACCATACCTGTTGGATTCAAACCTAAAAAGCCACATTTACACCTATAAATGGACAAGTTCTTCATTTGGATTTTTCTTCAATTTTCGTTCTTCTCTGCTGCTGTTAATCTCTTCATTTTGCTGCATTAATTTTCTATGAGAAATAGTGTAAACACAAAGTGTGTTCGTTGTACAAATAGTGTGTAGTGCTGCTATTATTCGTTGTTAATTATTTTATCCTGAGAGATAGGGGTCTGCAATATGAAATTACCGTGGAGAGGACGAATCTGTCTTAAGAACACAGTGTTAAACATTGGACTTAATCAAAATTTTGTTCGAGAAATTAATAAGTAAGTAATTAATTTATTTTCTGTTTTATTAATTTTCTTTTTCAGATTCTAATTTTATTTTTGTAACAAAACAAGAATCTGTTAGTTTTATTTATTTTTATATACTATTTTGATTTTTATGATAAAAAAGTCTCTCTCCTTTTCTTTAATTCTTTTTTTGAATACATTAAAGATTGGCCAACAAGCTAGATCTTAGATAGTTTAGCAGACCAAATCCATGTACAAGATCTATTTCTCTAATTTCTCATCTCTATGTCAACTCCCACATCCCTAAGCTTACACAAACTTGATTCATATAATCAAAGCCCAACAAAATTGACACAACAGATAAAATAGAAAATTTTATTTTCAGTCAAAAATCAGAACCATCATTATTAATTGGATCAATTACATGCAAAATATAAAATTAAAGTGTAAAATGCTATAAAAATTTTGCCCCGAAAAGTAAACCACCCAAACTCATTGTTAATATTATATAATAACCTATCCTATTATAATATGTTATTCATAAGTAAACCACCCAAACTCATAATTGACAGAAATAAATAGTGGAATAGGGTAGTTTTAACCTAACGTCGAGAAAACGATGGCCTGAAGTGATGAGAAGTTTAGCAGCGTGAACATCAATAGTCACCACTTCTGGTGCTTTGCTGCCAAAAAAAAAAAGGTATAAATAAATTCAAGAACAGCCCACATTCAAATGTTTTTCAAACTATACAAATATGTATGTATACCTTGGTTGGGTGTCCATGAAATTGAAGTGGAGGAGGCGGTGGAGGATCGTGATCTCAGGGGTGGGTTGCAGATCTCGGCGGGTGTGTGCTGTTTGCTTGGTTCGGAGGAGAGAGGTGGTGTTGGTGGTGTGGTGGGGTGGGTGCTTGAAGAGGCTGTGACTGCTCACTCGCTTGTTGGTTTTGTTGTTGTGTTGTGTGGTTGTGCTTGTGGTTTTACGTCTTCCAAGTTTCCAACACGACAAACTCCATTGTTTTCAGTGGATCAGTTGCGTGTACTACTTACTGAGGTCTATTTTAAAAGCATCTCCAGTCCAATCCAATCCTCTTATCAAAATATTTTTTATTCAAAAAAGTAGATTTAGAGTCAATTATTGGTCGTGTTGGGACCGTGGCTACAGGCTGTTTTTAGCCTCTAATACAAAAGAAAAATGTTTTAGAAATTTAATTTTTAACTTTAAAAAGTAGTTCTAATGAGTTGACAGTTGGCTCCATTTATATTGATGTGATATTTTGATCTTGGTTTGTTTTTATTTTATTTTTTTTGTTTATTGCTATGTCATTAGTGTTTTATTAGAATACTAAAATTAGTAATCTGAATCATTACTGAATATAAAAAGGCTTTTTAACCACTCATTGATGTAAAAAAAAAATATATATATATATAACTCAGCAGTGGGGGTAGCTTACACTGTCAACGTGATAGTGTAGGTACAAGTAGGGGCAGTCTCATCATTTCAGAAAATTAAATGGTAATTTTGGTCCCGTTTGGTAAAATTGTGGGAAAGTGATTATAATTTATAACTTAATAGCTTATGACTTATAACTGTGAATATAAGCTGATTTTTTACTTATAAATTAAGTTTCTCCTCTACACTCAAAGAATAAGTTGATTTTTGACTTACAAAAAGTTATAAGCCGTATTGTTAAACTGAACCAAACACATCAAAATAACTTAAATTAAGCTAAAAGCTGAAATAAAATGAAAATAAACCCTACCAAACAGGGCCTTTGTCCCTTTAAACTTGATTTGAAAAAAATGAGATTATAGACAAATTTATCATTTCAGTCTTAAACATCATTTCAAACACATTTTTCAATATATAATTCTAATAAAAATTCTTCCTCTCTTCCCAAACACAAAAACAAAAATAATCTACTAAAATAATCAAAAAATTAAAAAATTTAAAAAATAATCAATTTTCAAACATCCACATTATCTATTCAAACTCCAATCACAAATTTTTATTATTTTCACAAAACGAAATAAGAATCGGTTGATCATCCGAATGTCTGACTCCCCTACCTATTTATTTGTGGTAATGAAAGAAAATATTATGGTGCGCATACTTTAGATAGTGTATATTATATATTTTTATAATTAAAAATAAAAATAGTATAATTTTAATTTTTTGAATCATAATTTTTTTTTTAAAAATGTCATAATTAAGCACAATATAAAATATAACTAAAAAATTCATAGGTGATAACTAAAGAATAAAATTGATTATAACTAAAGAATAAAATGACAAATTAAGAGTGCATATAATATACCATTTTTAAAGAGGTGTATATTAAAATTTCCTAATAATAAATAGTGTTTTAGAGTGATCCTCTATTTTTCATCTCTCTCCAAATATAGAGGATCGTTTTCTTCCCAAATGGATATGAATTTAGAGGATGGATTAGAGATGAAAATCCTTCATTTTAAAAAAAATAGATGTTGCGTTGGAAATGTTCTAAGTAATTCCTAAACTTCACCTTAGTGTATAAAGATGAGGAATATAAACAAGATTAAATGAACAGTTTTGTAGCACTTATTAAGGATGTATTAAATATGATTAATCGCATTCACTATCATACAAAAAAGAGTAAGGCACCGTTTGGGAAGTGATTTTGTAGGTTTTTTTTAGTTATTTTAGTCACAAAAGACAAAATAGGTTATTTTAACCACAACAAACAAAACATCACATCCAACCCATAATCATTACACTCTTCTCTTACAAAAAAAATAAAAAAAGTTAAAAAATCAAAAAGCCAACCCACTTCCCAGACAAGCCTAAAGACTATAAATACATTTTATTAGAGACTAATCTATCATTTTCTCTAATTCTTTTTATTTTCAAATTATATACTTTTCGTACTAGAGTTTTTAAATACTTTTATTTTTAAATAACATTTCATAGATTTTTTTTTTTAAATTTTAAATGCCCTCTATTTTCAATCATAAATAAATTATATGGTGTAAGAAAAATGAATCTAAATTTAAAATAAAAATAAAAATAAAAATAAAAATCAAAGACATATAATTTTTTTTTTAAAAGTTCGTGAAAAATGTATGTTCTTTGTTTTCCTTTTAGGAGAAATTACCGATAAATCCCAAATTAGGGAATGATAATCCATTTAGTCTTACGTTTTTTTTTATGAACCATTTGGTCTTATTTAATTGGTAAGGAATATTTTCCTTTGAATTGGCATGGGCGGAGTTTTCACATTTACCCTTATTATGATTTTAGTGGATTTTTTTTTGCTAATTTGTGTGTAATGATTGAGATTGCAACGTTTACATTTTCATTTTTGTGTGTTTGATTTTTGTAGAGTAATATGTGGTGGATGGGTTTCAATTGCTGATGTTTTCTTTATTCACATCGATATGGTTAACATTACATTTTTACTGTCATAAATGTTATTAACATTCCACATCACCACCAACATTTATATACTCAAAAAACTGTAAAACAGGTGGTATATTACAACACAACAAGTCAAAAAAATGATGCTGTCACTACATTTCATTAACATCGATACAGTTAATATTACATTTTTTATTACCACAAATGCTATTAACATTCCATATCACCACCAACATCCATATACTCAAAAACATGGGAATGGGTGGTACATTACAACACAACAACAAACCCAACACAACAAATGACATTAACATTACACAGTTGCCAATCACACAGGAACCCCAAACCGCAGAGGCACACTAACACACTACAAGAAAAGTGGGCTTAAAAGGCAGAAGCATTTGTAATGGCACACTTGTCGTCCCAAAAAGTCACTTTTGGGACGACACAACTTGCTGTCGCAAAAAAGGTGAGTTTTTGTTACGGCACAATTTACTGTCTTAAAACAAGTGAGTTTTTGCGATGGCAGAAATTGCTGTCGCAAAAAAAAGAAGAAAAGAGTATTTGTGATGGCAGAGATTGTTGTCGCAAAAAAGATAAAGTATTTGTGACGGCAAACATTACTGTTGCGAAAAAAATAGAGCTTTTGCGACGGCACCAGCTGCAGTCGCACAAAAAATTGGGTTTTTGGGATTGTAATAGGTATCGTTGTAACAAAAAGTAAAAAAAAAAAATATTTTGACTTTGAGACGGTTTCATATATATACAGTCACAAAATGGTTTGAATAAATGCAACGGTATTTTTTTGTCGCAAAAAAAATTAAAAAAAAACGACGTCGTCTTATTCTTTTGATATAACATGTCTCTTTTCTCCCATTTTTTCATCTTCCTGTTTTTCTATCTCTGTATCTGTTTTTCTGTCTCTCTTTTCTCTCTCTCTCTCTCTCTCTCTCTCTCTTTTACTTATCCCTCTTCTCTGTTTGTCTCTCTCTCTCTCTATGTCTCTCGCTTATCTCTCATCTCTCTATCTCTCTCATCTCTTTTCTTTCTATCTCTCTCGCTCATCTCTCTTCTTTCTATCTCTCTTTCTTTTATCTTTCTTCTCTCTTTGTCTCTCTCGTTTATCTCTCTTATCTCTATCTCTCTCTGTTTCTCTCGCTCATTTCTCTTCTCTCTCTGTCGCTCTCTTTTTCTATGTCTCTCTCTCGTTCATCTCTTTTCGCTCTCTTTTTCTATCTCTCGCTCATCTTTTGTTTCTTTCTTTTTTTTCGTCTCTCTGTCTATCTCTTTCACTCTCTGTCTCTCTCTTTCACTCATCACTCTTCTCTCTCTCTTTTTCTCTCTGTTTGTTTGTCTGGCTGTCTGTGTCTCTCTCTCTCTCCTACTGTGTTCGCCTTGCTCACCATTTCACTCTCATCTTCTCTATTTACCGAACTCCCTCTAGATTTATCGATCCATTACAAGAAAATACACTTTTAGTGACCACTCTGTCTCTCTCTCACTCATCAATCCGTCTATGTTTCTCTCTCTATCTCTCTTCTCTATCTGTCTTTCACTCATCTCTCTCTCTGACCACCCCATCTCTTCTACCACCTTCACTACTACTGCAAATGCCATTCCACTACCATCACTACTACCACTGTTGCCACTCCACCATTACGACTACCATTACTACCACCATCGCCACCACTCCACTACAACCACCACTACTACTGTCATTACTACTACCATTACCTTTCCTTAACCACCGCCACTCTATCTCCTTTACCACTACCACAACTTCACCAGTAATCTTCTTCGCCATCACCACTGCCACCACCATCACCTTTTATCTACCACTTTCATCACTACTATTGCTCCCTCTCCTCTACCACAAAAAAAAAATTGGTTCCTAATTTTTAGTAACCAAAAAAATGGGCCGCAAAAAATATTTTTCATTGACCACAAAAAATTAACTTTTTTTAACGGAAAATATTTTTCATTAAAATATTATCCCTACTTCTACCAAAAAAATAAAATAAAATAAATAATCAGCTTGTTTGATTCCATTTTTCAGAAAATAGTTTTTAGAAAATTCTATTTTTTTATTTTTCGTATTTTAATGTTTTCAATGATTTTTTTAATAGTTTAAGCATTTTTTTAAAAATTTTTAGACGCACCTACAAAAACACACTTAAAAAGTATAATATTTGTGAAAAAAATCTTTAAAAAATACACTAAATACCAAAAAATACAAACAAATACGAAAATTTAATACATTTTCGTATTTTTGTGTATTTATTAATTTTTAAAAATATTTTTTCACAAATATTTTACTATTTATATACATCTAAGTAAAGTGCATCTAAAAAAGTAAAAAAATTACTTAAAATTTGAAAAATATTCACTAAAAATAAAAAAAAAAGAGCGAAAAACAAAAAACTCAATTTTCAGAAAATTGAAACCAAACACACTGAATAATTTTTTTTTTTCATTAGAATAAAAATGAAACAAATAAATTTTTAACCTTAGTAACTAAAAAAAAAATAAAAAATCAAAAAAAAAATTCATTAACTACAAAAAAAATAAATAAAACGACGTCGTAAACCTCATCTTCTTTTCTTCTTTTTTTTTTTTCGTTTTCCCATTTTTTCTAATTCCC